GTGGTCGTTACTTTTAATGCCCAAGAATATTTTTTGATAAGGCTGTAAGGACACAGATACTTTAGTTTCAATGCTTTTAAAGACATGGCTTAATATTCGAAGTCGTCGTGGCCTAACGGATGAGGCGTCCGGTGCATTCGTGTTGAGCGACGCACCGGTGTTCGAATCTCAGGCGGGTACCAATTTTTCTAATGAAATACGTACTCAACAAATGTTCACGATTGATTTCCATGGTGAAGGAACAACATCGTGTAATAAAAATGCAACCCGCAAAATTATAATTTGCGTAATTACTGATGGTAGGACCTCTTGTGAGTCCGCGCGGATAGGTACCACCACCCTGCCTATTTCTGCCGTGAAGCAGTAATGCGTTTCGGTTTGAAGGGTGGGGCAGCCGTTATAACTATACTTGAGACCTTAGAACTTATATATATCTCAAGGTGGGTGGCGCATTTGCGTTGTGGATGTCTATGGGCCCCAGTAACCACTTAACACCAGGTGGGCTGTGAGCTCGTCCACCCTTCTAAGCAATAAAAACAAATGTTTTTTTTATTGCCTTTGTAGGCAGACGGGCATACGGCCCACCTGATGGTGAGTGGTTACCGTCGCCCATGGACTTTAGCAATGCCAGGGGCAGAGCCAAGCCGCTGCCTAATGTCTAATGAAGTTTTAAAATCGTTCATTTAACATAGATATTGCCAGCAATAGTGGAATATATAGAAACACACATCAGATCATTGAGATGTCGAAATAAGGCGCGCCTCTAATTTATTAGTCCATTGTGAATTCGAGTCTGTATTCAATCGAGCTACGACGACGTCTTACATCCCTATAAAATAGGGATGTGCTGATATTTTTTTTTAAATCAAAGCATTATTGTTTGTGTCCATACGTAAAATCTATATCTACATTATTAATATTATAAAGAGGAAAGATTTGTTTGTTTGTTTGTATTGAATAGGCTCCGAAACTACTGAACCTATTTGAAAAAGTATTTCACTGTTTGGAAGCTACACTATTCCCGAGTGATATAGGCTATAATATTTTTCGATAAAATTAGGGATCCTTACTAAAACTCCAATAATGTAACCCAAGGTGTAAAACCCAAGGTGTGTAATTTTGGAAATGTTGTTAACGACCCGAGCGAAGCCGGAGCGGGGCGCTAGTTTAAATATAAAACACTTCTAACGTTCTTACAGTTTTATCACAGTCGGCTAATAAATTACACGAAATAAATACGGAGTGAATAGGGCAGTATTTATGAACCGGTATCGGTTTTACGTGTGGCTATAAATGTTTCACATCAAAAAACTACTTCTTACTGGTGGTAGGACCTCTTGTGAGTTCGCACGGGTAGGTATCACCAGCCTGCCTATTTCTGCCGTGAAGCAGTAATGCGTTTCGGTTTGAAGGGCGGGGCAGCCGTTGTAACTATACTTGAGACCTTAGAACTGATATCTCAATGTGAGTGGCGCATTTACGTTGTAGATGTCTATGGGCTCCAGTTACCACTTAACACCAGGTGGGCTGTGAGCTCGTCCACCAATATTAAAAAAAAAACAAATTACAATGATTTTTTTTTTATTAGGCAGAAATAGGCAGGGTGGTGGTCCCCACCCGCGCGGACTCACAAGAGGTCCGACCACCAGTAATTACGCAAATTAAAATTTTGCGGGTTTCATTTTTCTTACACGATGTTATTCCTTCACCGTGGAAATCAATCGTGAACATTTGTTGAGTATGCATTTTATTAGAAAAATTGGTACCCGCCTGCGGGATTCGAACACCGGTGCATCGCTCAACACGAATGCACCGGACGTCTTAACCGTTAGGCCACGACGACTTCATTTAGTTTCATTCATTTAGTTTAGGTCTATGATGGGATGAACTCATAAATTTTGACGACGGTATATCAATTGCATTGAAATAATATACCCTTTTTCGCAATATTTATATGGTAAAATACTGGTGGTATCTTGTTTTTTTTTTTTATGATTGAAAGCTTACTGGTGGCCCGGATGCCTTTCCAGTTTCACCAGGACAGGTGGGCGAGCAAAGGCTCAGCCAGGAGGGGTGAGATTTGCTAACAAGTGCCCGAGCGGCTCCGAAGGAGACCTAACAACTCAAGAGCAATTGCTTCGCGAATGAATCTACTACCGGATCGGAATCGCGACCCACTGAGAAGATCCGGCGAGAAACTCAATGGGCTGATGCATGGGTTAGGTTGCACGTCGACCTCTTTGTCGAGTTCAACGAGAACGGTTACCGGGGTCCCTAAGCCTGCTCCTAGTTTTAGAGCTGAAGGTATCTAATGCAAGAGTTATTGGATAGGATGGATCCGTAAGGACGTGTCTAGGGCGACGACGGTGACTTGCTCCTGCGTGATCAGGATTCGGGGAGCAGTCAGCGGCAGCAACGGTAAGGCGATTGTCATGACGGTGGTATCTCGTATTGGATCGTAGGAGAGATTTGTTACTCTAAACTATTCTATTACAGATCATCGAATCATCGATCATCGATCACTGAAACATCTCGTGTTCCGATAAAAAGGATATAGTCGATAGCAATACTATTAATAGTCCGATTCGCTCAATTATGTTGTGATGTCTGTATACTGACGAACACCAGAAAGGTCCTTGTCTACTTTTAAAACAACAAAAATATCTAGTTTACAAGTTAGCCATTTATTGAATGAAAAAAAAGTTGATGTATACAACTCCAAAGTAGTAATCTTTCACTTCACACCTTATAAATCTCAGTGAATCGTTGCCTTCTTCAATAGACTTGTAAATCTTTTACGTAGTGGGCCATTGTGACTTCTTAATACGGGCAGCTTGCAACTTTATAAGCTAGCTAGGCATGCTCTGTGATGCGGTGGCTGTTTTTTTTTAATTCAACCTTTTTTTATTGCTTAATGGGTGGACGAGCTCACGGCCCATCTTATGTTAAGTAGTCACCGAAGCCCATAGATAATTACAACGTAAATGTCGCCATATACCTTTAGATATGAGTTTTAAGGTCTCCGTTTTTACAGTAAAACGGCTGCCTCATCTTTCAAACCGAAACTGCTTCACGGCAGAAATAGGCAGGGCGGTGGTACCTACCTGTGCGGACTCACAATACGTCCTACCACCAGTAAATAATACACGCTTCACAGAATAGAGTCCGGTAGACCCCCGGATCGGAATCGCGACCCATTGAAAGGATCTGACAAGAAACTCAGTGGGTTTAATACTCTCAATTCATACCTAAATGTCAATACTGACAATGAGAGTGGCAATGAAGTGGCAGTAGGCAATCACGCTGACATGTTCTAACTGGTTGGGTTTGTTTGTTTGTTTGTTTGCTCTTTTAATTCTTATCAAAGCGAATAGAAGTCATATTATAATTTCTTTTCAATATAAATGTAATATTCGTGCAAGAGAACTAATGGGGATATAGCTCAGTGGTAGAGCATTCGACTGCAGATCGAGAGGTCCCCGGTTCAAACCCGGGTGTCCACCCGATGGGTGGACGAGCTCATAGCCCACCTGGTGTTAAGTGGTTACTGGAGCATAGACAACTACGACGTAAATGCGCCACCCACCTTGAGATATAAGTTCTAAGGTCTCAGTGTAGTTACAACGACTGCCCCGCTCTTCAAGCCGAAACGCATTACTGCTTCACGGCAGTTGCAATTATGTTGATATGCTTACTTACTTAATCCTCATGGCAATTGTTCGTATTTAAACATGTAAAGCAACTTTCGAAGTACCATTAGATTAGTAGGCTTAAAACCATTAAAGTAAATCAGATTTTAATAATCCATTTTATTTTTACAAAATTACAATATCATAAAATTTACAAATAAACAACAATTTTAAATGTCAACAGCGCATTAATTATATATTATATGAAATAGGTTAATAACATATTTTGTCTTGAAATAAATTGATGCATTAATCCCGCAGTCGCGGAATAGTTTCCAAAATGAAATAATAAAATTGTCCTATGCAATATTGATAATACTTCTCGGTTTTATGTAAAAAGTATTTTTTTTTTTTTGTTTTCAATAATTATATTATATCTTTCGAATATTTTATAGTTCGCACGATATTCTAATGTCGACGTATTTTAGTATTTTAGTTGATTTTACAGTAGCGAAAGACTGATTGAAATGGCGAAATTATAAAACTAAGTTGATAAACTCAAGATCATTCTGTTAAGGCAGTTGATGTATGATTTAGAACAGTGCTTCCCAAAGTAGGGTCCACGCGCCACAAGGGAGCAATTTGATAAATAAGGGAGGCAATGGCACTTAATGAATATTGAAAATCTATATTAAAATTATTTTGAATTTTAATTTTTAGTTTTTTATTATGTTTTGAACTATTATATACTCTGTTCTGATAACAATTTCATAGTATTTTTTTTTCTAAAACGTTATGTTTCTTAAGGGAACAAATTAATTTATTAATGTCAAAAATGATGTATTAAGGGGTAATTTATTAATGTTAAAAATTTTAGAAAAGTTACAGTGGGGCATGTCACAAAAAAGGTTGGGAAACACTGATCTAGAATAAATTTGTCAGATGGTCTCGTGTTACATACGAAAGTCAGAAATTGTTTGAAATATTACTAGGGTTTTGTTGGGAATATTATAATATTTATATGCGTTGGGTGTGGCGTGTGGTAGCCGGTAATATCATAATATGCTATTCCGAGTTCGTCTTAATGTTTAACATAGATTAGCTAATATGTAGCGGCTCTCTGCAATATACTGACATAGTATTGAGTTAAATAGGAGAACGGAAAAGAAGAGAGAAATTATTAGTTTTTTTTTATTTTCCAGACGGAGGCGTCAGCTTCGCGTATCTTTTTAACTCGATCATTCTTGGGTCTCGAGTCACTAGTCAAAATTTTATTGTAAAAGTATTTTAATTGTGACTTTGGAAACAATTTTTTTACGTATTTTTATTATATTTCGCGTCCCCGTATTCCCGGCGGCGTCTGACTAGAGTTCACGATCTAAGTTTGAGAAACGATCTAACGCATTGAGAGGCCGTAAGTCGTTTCGTCCAGGTACAGCGGAAGCGCCCAGAATCTGTCGCATTTCCACTTCTTCCTCTTGGAGTCTTCCGGGAGAAAGTTCCAGATGATGAGGTCTTCGTCTGCTGTTGCTGTCGCTGGAATTATGACGTATGACGCAATTTTTACTGGTGGTAGGACGTCTTATGGGTCCGCACGGATAGGAACCACCATTCTGCCTATTTCTGTCGTGAAGCAATAATGCGTTTCGGTTTGAAGGGTGGGGCAGCCGTTGTAACTATGAGACTACTACTAACTGAGACCTTAGAACTCGTATCTTAAGGTGGAAGGCGCCATTTGGGTTGCGGCTCCAGTAACCATTTAACATCAGGTGGGCCATGAGCTCTTCCAACAACTTAAAAAAAAGAGGGATGGTAAATCGGAAAATAGCACCTTCAAGTTGGGATTTTCATCATTTCAATCGGTATCAAAAACGTACACAGACTATATATGAAAGAATGCACCCGGATTCCAAATTCTGAATATTTATAAATAAGCGTAATGGCAATCGGGAATCGAATTCCCTGCGAATAATATTTTTTCCGTCAAAAAATTTTAAGCCAGACCTTGAGTTTCGGGGACTCGTTTAACGAAACATACAATTTTGATACATGAGAAGGTAAAAGTTTATAATACCATTATTTTGTAAAAAAAAAAAACAATTTACCTTACCAAGCTTAGTTCCATCGGGACTGAAAACCATAGTCCTGATCCGGTCCAGTCCCGAGCGTTCTTCGCCCCATTGATCGACCACTTTATCTGGTCCACTCATCACTACCAATTGTGAACAAGTCTTCGGCGATGAAACGGCTCGTTCTAAAATGGATTATTCAAGATATATCGAATCGTGACACGCTTTTCCTTTTGTTCAGTGCTGTTCAATATAATGTAAACAAATTCAATTCTATATACCTATTGTTAAAGGTTTTTTTCCATTACCGATGTTGGCTTTGCTATATGCTAGACAATCAACCTTCATCATCATCATTATCATCACACGTCAACATTGCTAGACATAGGCTTCTATTAATAAGCGCTACTAAACCCAGTGTTTAGTTATTTCGTTTTGAAAAGAAAACTAGTGTTCCTAAATAGACCGCGAATCGGCAAATGTCATCGTGCTGTGACCATTAGCTAGACGGAGCAACTACTCATGAAAGACGACAAGAGTTGTCATGAGAATTAAGGTTAGATCGTCGTATTCCAATAGATCTAAAACGGCTTGATTTCACAAAAGAAAAATACGCAATATCCTATAAAGGGTTCTGTTCCTCTTCCCTATAATCGCCAATCATATATATAAAAAAAAAGCATTTCCATGCATCACTTCTCTTTACAGAGCTGTTGTACTTTTTGCTGACGTAAATGAGTTAGTTACGTAGTCACGGTACTGGTGATCTAGCATTCGAACTCTCTAATGTAATTAATTACAAAAGCCTAAAGTCGAATACGACAGACCGTAACGTAGGATTGCTTTGTGCAAAAAAAAAAGCAGGAAGATTGTACCCTGCTGTTTTACGATACTCCCCATCACTATTGCTACTCTTTGTCAATAATTACTCACTAGACCACGAATGCAAGTGTGACGGAGATAAATATAACGTATATTCGACCAGCACAGGACATATGATGAACATGTCCGGGACTCATGATGTAAAGAGTTCCAGGGGATCAGATTTGGAAAGCTTGCGTAATTAACGGTTGCATTGGAATATCGCTTAAAGTTGCAGACTATATGCTATTAGATGTCCAATAACATCTATATGATAGGTTATTCATATATTCTTACTGGTGGTAAGACTTCTTGTGAGTCCGCACTGGTAGGTACCACCACCCTACCTATTTCTGCCGTGAAGCAGTAATGCGTTTTGGTTTGAAGGGTGGGGCAGCCGTTGTAACTATACTGAGACCTTAGAATATGTATCTCAAGGTGGGTGGCGCATTTACGTTGTAGATGTCTATGGGCTCTAATAACCACATAACACCCAGGCGGGCAGTGAGCTCGTCCACACATATAAGCAATAAATAATAAAAAACTTGGTAACTTCAAACACTCATGTAATGGTGGAATTCATTTTTAGCGGCTAATAAAAGAAGACAAAACGTGTATCATAGGATTGTTATAGTAGGTTTCAACCGTACCCGGGTTCCACAAGCTGATGACCAGCTCTCCGGTCTTATGGCTGAAGAGCATAGCGTCCAGACTATGGCGGCTGTGGCGGATTGTGGTGTCCGTGACCCGGGAGGTGGGCGCGTCCCACACCGCGACGTGCGCGTTCATCCGTGACGTCACTGCGCCCACACCCAGCAAGGCGGAGCGCCATGGGTGCCAGCTCAAAGCCTGAATATCGTAAGATAAAATATTTTCGGATGTGTAAGACACGAATAGAACTTAAGTGAGAATTAAAGTCTTGTAGGGGAAAAACGGAATAAAATTTAGGAATTTGCTTGGGAGTATGAAGTCATAGTCAAAAAGTTTGGGAGCTTAGAGTGTACACTATAAACTGTTTGAACAAATATTTGCCTATTACTTCGATTGTTAAAAATGTTATTTTATATATTACACTGTCGTAGTATCGAGTATATGATCGTTGAAGCTATCGTGCTTAGAGATGAGTACAAGATCCACTTAAAATGGTGAACCTAGCACTTTCTTCGACATAGCGTGAACACAACCATTTGAGCTGATACTTGAGATCAAATTCTCAGTTGATCTTCGACAGAAATATTGAACAGATCACAGTATTCATTGTTGACGTTACCTTAACAGTCCAGTTAGAGCCCAAACTAGAGTACAAGTGGAGTAGCGGCCAGGTCATGACGAGTACGGTGGTTCCGTTGACGGCCGCGGCCGCCACATACCGTGCGTCCGGAGATACGCGCACCGCCAGCATCGTCTCGCCCACACGTCGCCACCCCAGCATGTCTCCAGTGCGAGTGTATGACACCAGCACTCCACGAGAACATCCCCTGAGAGATTTAACAAATTTTCGGAAAGTCGGCTGTAACTTAGTATCCAACAAATCTGAGTCACCAACAATAGACGAAAAAGGTTTGGTAGACAATTGAAACTAACAATAGTAGTATTAGTTCCGAAGACTCTAGAATATTCTCGTACTGCGCCAGTTTTGATTAGGGCTTAGACCCTGAGCACTTCTGCTATCCAACATTTGACCTTAGGAACGTAAGGAATTCAAAGTCTTACCAAGGTGATTTTTCCATATCTAGTACCTATCTTTCTCCTTGTACAAGTGACAGCTACATCAGGGAGCTTTGAATTAGGTCCACTAGACTATTGGCTTTTTTGGTATAGTAAGAGTTAGCATGGTAAGAATTAGAACAACATCGACTCCAGATAAAAATAGTTACGTTATAAAAGAGTTTCCTGTAGGGCTCCAATCGACGGCAGTGATGCTGCAGATGGCTACAAATCTGTTACACAAACAGGAACATTCAGCCACCCACTTGCTCATCGCGTTGTTGTGAATCTCCGTTATCTGGTTGTCAGTGCCAAGCTGTAGTCGAATCATGAAGAACACAAAAAATTAAATAGCATTAGTTAATTTTGAAACTGACAGCAAATTTGCCGAAATGTAATTTAAATTCGTGTCCATTCCTAATTTCTACTAATAAGTTATCTGATTTTGATACGAAGGAAATACCTCTGTTGATTATCCTCTTGTTTATTTATTAGTAAATACATCCAATCTGAATCTTAATTTTAATCTCATCAATAAATAATGCACATGGCCATATAATCTTCTTCTTTATTTCAACCTTATCCCACTAGATGGGGTTGGCACAGCGATTTTTTCTATTCCATTCGCTTCTATAAGCCGTCCTTTCAACACTCACTCTTCTCTATCTCATATCATTGCCTTGTAATAACAAAATTAAATAAATTAGCAATAAGAAAATCTTACCAGTAAGAGTTCTCCTCTAGGATCAAACTTGCAGCATTGTATTTCATATTGCGTAAAACCCTGGTTGGTAAGGCTTTGAGTGCGCCAGCTCCATTTATGGTAGTTCCTGCCCAGAGCTGCCACCAGAATGTTATCACTGCTCCAGTCCAAAAGCTCTGGAACTGAGGAAGTCAAGCAAGATATGTTTTGCATCAAAAGCTGTGTGAGAGTAAAATTAAAAAAGTGTTTGAGAAACTTCTTTTTGACCAAATATTGCCGTCGTTATTATTAGCCAATTAACATCTGTTTTCAGCGACTCTATGCCAAAATCCAGATTTATCGAAACACAGTGGCCAACATTAACACTTTGTAGACTTAGAATTTTCATGTTGGAATAGGATCATATACCAAGTATTTTTTAAACAAATTGTAAGCAGGCAGGCTTAAGGTATGTAGCAACATGATCATACTATTTCTGGCATTGGCGATGCACGTAGGCTTTGGTGACCGTTTCGTACCAAGAGGGCAGTATGCCTCTGTGTTTTCGAAATCAATATGAATATACAACTATGAAAGGTAAGGTTTAAAATTATGGCGATAATACTTCCATGCACGGAACGTGGCGAAGTAAAATCAGCGTTCAAACCAAAGTAAATAAATTAAATTCAGGACGTAATCATTTTCACTGGTTATAAAATTAATTGTGAATGCGGCACGCAAAAGTAATATTGACGATTGATCTTTTACATTAGCACAAAACACCACTTAGTTTCGCTCGCTTACCCACAACGTGGGTGTTTGACCAACTAAATTATGACTGGCGCTTTTTTTCTTCAAGCATGTATTCAAAGAGTATTTGAACTTTTGTTAGAATATTGTGATTTTTCGGAAATAGGTGTATGAAACCGTTTTATTTTTGGATGGTGGAAGGGTAATCATGGCCTTTCTAACTTCACCAGGGGTGGGCGAGCACGGGTTCAGCCAGAAGTGGAATTGGTTAATAGCTGCCTAAGCTCCTCCGAATGAAACCTAACATCCCAAGAGCAGTTCCTTCGCGAATGTATCTTCAAAAAAATGAAAACCTTTGGCCACAATTGGGTCTTATAAACTTCGACTTGGTACCCAAGACCCTATTGCAGAACCGTTTGGTCATTGTATCGTTGAAACTATCTTCCCACGGCGTTCCTCTTCGTGAGCTACAAATCAATAGCTGACGAGTGGTCAAGTTAAATTGATAAACCATAGTCAAAACATTGAGCTGTTTCTAAGATCAACTGACAGAATTTCATAACTACTGCCTCATATGAGAGATTAAAATAATGTAAAATGTACACAAAGCATAGCTGTATGTCGGTAGATCCAATATGCTGTCGGCTGAAGTGAGGTATCTACGTTTTCTGGGCACGCAGGGCCAGGCTTGAGCTCTGTACCCGTCAGGTATCGACTGGTTACAATCATGAGCTTTCAAGGGTTCCAAACCGAAAGCTTCATCTAAATATTCAGCATATTTCTTCCGTTGTAAGTATTCTGAACTCTGAAAAGATCAGGTGGTCATGATAATGGTTTTAGTATTATTGCGAAGGTTGTTTTGTACTCTAGTAGTTTTGTTCCCAGACACAAAAGTCAGGTCCGAAATGATCAAATGGCGATAGATTCTTCTAGAGTAATTCATTTAGAAAAAGAGTAATACATAGTCTGAAGTTCATTGAATTGATGCAATATCAATTTTAGTCTACGACAAATATTACCCAATTTCCATTTTAATAAGCTAAAAATGGTTTTGTCCAAAAATACACAAGAGTCTGACGAAAATAATAATTTTTTCATTGCATAAGAAATGAGCAAACAAATTTGTGTAAATAGTTTGATATTATTCAGTATCCTGACCCAAATGTCGCCAGTGTAAGCTGAGGGTATTTTCCAAAGAGCGCGACTTTTAATCTCGGCCAGTTGTTCCCTGGGTAGAACGAACCTATCCACTCGGGGTCGCCGCCTATTCAACTGGAACAAAATGTTTTTACGTGAATACGAGGGCGATACTGCGAAACATAACTAGTTTTCACTATAACATTAGTCGAAATACTGGGAATAGTTGAAAAACATAACGATTAGCGAGCTGCTCATTCCGCGGACCATCAGTGAAATTCTTCGAAGTTGCGCACCGAGCTTGGCGGTTTCTGGGAAACTGCGCAGTCATGTATGGATGCGTGGCGTACCAAGCCGCCTGAACGTTGTTTATTTATCAATTTCTAGAATTTGACGGGAACGAGACAAAAACGAAACGGTCAAGTTAAACTGTCGCCAATTTATGTTCGGGTTCTGTACGTTATTTTATTATATAGATACACAAACGATACAAATGATAATGAGATGATTTTTTTTTAATTGATATTAAATTTAATAAAAGTTTATTTATCATGTTCTATATTAGTTTTTATTTTATTTTATTTTCGTTTCGTGTTATCATTTGCCTTAGTAAACTTACATGCTAATAGTTACATGCTAATAGGCATTGCAAATGCGCGCCAATAATATTTTATGTTGCATTCACATGTCAAAGTTTTGTTGACAAATTTCTTTTTTTTTATTAAAATTGCAATGAACATCTATTTTAAAGCCTTTCACTTAAAAAGAGATTTGTTACTGAAAAAGTCACACGGAACTCCATTAAATTAAATTGATTTTAACACAATGTCTTATGGCAAATGCATTAATATGTACTAAGCATAATTGCGTACGCAAGTTAATAGTTATTTTTATGTATATAAGTTAGAAATGGGGTTAATTAATGGTGTTTTTTTTTACTAGCTTTGCAGACTTTGAAAATTTAAAAACGTAATGTATTCGTTTACAGTTCGCAGTCAATTTTTATTGTCAGTCAATGATTGGCTGCCAAGAGGTGAGGTTGGGGCAAATTTGAGACGATCCGAGAGGGACTAGACTTAGAAACAAGGTATTTATATAATGTAGTATTTCATATTTTGTATATTACAGATACGACTCAGAGCACCTTTTGTCGCGGGCTAATATTAAATTACTAATATGATAAACTGTAAAGTATCCGAAAATTAAATAATAGTTTAAAAAATCTAACAAACTACGCTTTTATAGAAAATCCAACTAAAGAATTGAACATAAATTTTAATAAATTTTATTAAAAATAGTGCAAGAAACAATGTTTTTATTGTAAAAAAGCGTGGGTGCTTTTCAGGATATTATCAAAATAACCCTTGTACTCATATCTTTTCATAAAATATTTATAACTATTGATACCATGCACCCCACGCATTTTTTACAATACAATCATTTTTTCTTGCACTATTTTTAATTGTAATTTTTTAAAATTTATTTTCTATTTTTTTTTCTCCATTTTTTTATCATATTGGATTGTCATCTGTCCTTAATAAGTATACCAAATTTCGAGTTAATCCGAAGTTTTGAAGGGGTTCAAAATTATGTTCAAAGACTCGGCTACAAACATACATACGTCTGAAGCTAATAAAAGCGTATTAATAATAAATCATATATTATATTAAACCGTGAAACTGCAGTAAGCGTGTAAGTAAGTTCATGTNTTGTTTAAACTTTATCTAATTTAACTTTTTTGTATTCATGTCTATGATAATAAAATCCTTTTGTTTAAACTTTATCTAATTTAACTTTATTTAACCAATTTCTAGAAAGTTGCATGTAGATCATTTTTCGAAAAATAAGGCCATAAACAAGTTTCACTTCTTACGTGTGTACACTAGTACACGCACACTTTTTTTTTTTTTAATACATTTGAATTAAAAATAGTGTAAGAAAAAATGATTTTATTGTAAAAAAAGCGTGGGTGCTTTTCAGGATATTATCAAAATAGCCCTTGTACTCAAATCTGTTCAAAAAATGTTTATAACAACTGATACCATGCAACCCACGCTTTTTTTACAATACAATCATTTTTTCTTGCACTATTTTTAATTCTAATTTATTAATATTTATTTTCTATTTTTTAGTTGAATTTAAATTTTTTCAAATTTTTTTTTTCAATTTTTTTTTAAATATTGAATTGTCATCTGTCCTTCATAAGTATATAAAATTTCGAGTTAATCCGAAGTTTTGAAGGGGTTCAAAATTATGTTCAAAGACTCGGCTACAAACATACATACGTCTGAAGCTAATAAAAGCGTATTAATAATAAACCATATATTAAACCGTGAAACTGCAATAAGCGTGTAAGTCAGTAGGTAGTTCATGTTATTTAGATGTGTTTCAATATTTTTTGGTACTATGACAAACAATATTTAGAAATTACCTCGATTATGTGTATGAATTTTGACTCGGATTTCAATTGGAGATTTTTATGAATTATTTTTTTAACATTTTGAAAATATTCTAATATAGCTAACTAGAAGCAACATTTAAATGTATCTTAATTATTCTATATTATTATACAATAAATCGAAAGTAAAATTTCTCAAAGCTCAACCAAAACCTAACTTATAAGTACATTTAAACTATTTCTCAAATACGACAACAACTAGCTTTTCCAGGAGGCTAGCTTTTCGCTCGCGTTATTCTAGTCAACCTCTCCAGGTATGTACTGGGCAGACTTTAATAAATGACGCTGTCACAATAGAATCTTTTACGTCCTTCATGCAAAACCTGGGTATTGCATAAACGGGTGGCGGCATTTAGGCTGTTGATGTCTATGGGATCCGGTAACCAATTAATACCGGATGAGTTGTGAACTCGTTCACTCATTTAGGTATTAAAAGTTAATTGGATTGAGCAGTATTATTAATTTATATAAAGCGTTTTTCATATAGAGCTCTCGAAGCTGTCAAAGTTCGCGCGTCCCTATTGAAAAGCCCTATGTATTAAGAGATCGCGACGATGACGTCACGATCTCCCAATATCCTAATTTTTGGTTTAGGGATACATTTGATATAAAATTTTTTATTGCTTAGATGCGTGGACGAGCTCACAGCCCACCTGGTGTTGAGTGGGTACTGGAACACATAGGCATCTACAACGTAAATGCGCCACCCATCTTGAGATATAAGTTCTAAGGTCTCAAGTATAGTTACAACGGCTGCCCCGCCCTTCAAACCGAAACGCATTACTGCTTCACGGCAGAAATAGGCAGGGTGGTGGTACCTACCCGTGCGGACTCACAAGAGGTCCTACCACCAGTAATGACATATCCTTCTTCAAACGAGGTTTGAGGACAGCACTCAACAGTGGGCAGTGTTTTGGCTATATCCCTGCCATTGCTAATGTCCATGAGTGACTATGACAATTTACCATCAGCTGGACCGTATGCCCGTCTGCCTAGAAATGCAAATATTTATTATTTTTCTTTTTATTACGTATATCCCTTTATGAGTTGGTGTTAAGTGGTTCCCGGTGACAAAGTTACCTGAGGGCTGCCACTGACTTAAGGGTTATTTTACACTTCAAACCGGCAAAAATGGGTGGCATTTTGGATTCTTACTCTTAGGTGGGGCAGCCGCCGCACTGTAAAAGAGATCTTAGACTCATGTCTCGAGGTAGGTGGTAGGGCGTCTTATGAGCCATCATTAATAGATACCAACACCCTACTTATTTCTGCCGCGAATTAGTCACTCATTCTGGTTTAGGGATAGGGTTTACTGGTGGTAGGACCTCTTGTGAGTCCGCACGGGTAGGTACCACCGCCCTGCCTATTTCTGCCGTGAAGTAGTAATGCATTTCTGTTTGAAGGGTGGGGCAGCCGTTGTAACTATACTGAGACCTTAGAACTTATATAACTATACCGGGACCTTAGAACTAATATCTTAAGGTGGGTGGCGCATTTGCGTTGTAGATGTCTATGGGCTCCAGTAACCACTTAACACCAGGTAGGCTGTGAGCTCGTCCACTCATTTAAGAAAAAGAAAAAAATATAGGAGCGCCGTTATACCATACAATCGAGGTTTAGACCTCATGTCTCAAAGTAGGTGGGGGCAATCACGTTGCGTTGTCTGTGAGCTCCAGGTTGGCCGTGGTCTCGTTCACTCGTCAAATAAGTCTTCCCGTGATTAACAATAACATCTTCCGCATTCAGCAAATTCCGGTGACATTAAAAAAAAAAAATTTGCCAGGGGCTAATTGTTCTTTGAATAGTAAGCCACCCACTCCCACTTCAGCTTGATAATCGAATCTCCTAACATTGGATGAGACCTGAGTCCAATTCATGAATTTTACATAAAACATTTTTTTTTTATTGCTTAGATGTGTGGAACGAGCTCACAGCCCACCTGGTATTAAGTGGTTACTGGAGCCCATAGACATCTACAACGTAAATGCACCACCCACCTTAAGATATAAGTTCTAAGGTCCCGGTATAGTTATATAAGTTCTAAGGTCTCAGTATAGTTACAACGGCTGCTCCACCCTTCAAACCGAAACGCATTACTGCTTCACGGCAGAAATAGGCGGGGCGGTGGTTGGTACCTACACGTGCGGACTCACAAGAGGTCCTACCACCAGTAAAAAATCTGTATTGTTATTAGTTTGATAACAGCGAGTAATGTACTCGGCATTCGAGAATAGAACAGCACAAACTAGACCAATTAAAGGCTTTAGAATTGGTATTTATGGTATTACAATGAGGTACATAGATGTATTCTTAGGTAATTTAAAATTAATTCATATTCACTTTTTTAATATAAACTTTTTTCGTCAAAATTTATCTTCTCTGGATGTTTTGTAGGTCTAAGATCTATCTAGTAATGTAACAATGACAATATATATTATATACTGTAAAGTTAATGTTAGACAACTAAGATCGCGAAGCGTCAAAATTAAAAAGAGTTTTACGTTTTATTCTTCCATTCCCTTAGGTCATCGGAGAACTTAATGCTGAAGTTTCCCGCTCACGGGACGTCATTTTATGACCATTCCTTTACGGTTGAAGCAGTCCGTTTATGGAATGCGCTACCCTTAAGCATCAAACAATCGTCCTCGCCGGAAATTTTCAAGTTCAGATTGAAATCGCACTACCTTGGACAATAATATGGCTCCCATGATATAACTGTACAGGTTGCTACTTGTTTCGTATTTACTTCACATATGGTGTTAAATAAAGTGCTATATTATTATCTTATATTATTCTCGCCTTTACAATAAGAAACGAGATACTAAACCGTAAAAGGACGTTTAATAAAATAATATAAATATAATATATATACCACAATGGTAAAAGTAAGTTTAATTATGTCCACAGCTCGCGAAAACCGAAGATAATAATTTACTGACAAATGAATAAAATAAATGCCGGTTTAAATGGTAAACTGTTTTTATCATCATTTTCAAAGTGTGTTGAATGTATTTAAAGAAAGGCACGGAAGAACTCCGTCGAAGTAAATCTGAATTGATTTTAATGGTAATTAATATTAATTAAGAAGGAATCTTGGTTAGCGCACGTAAATATTGCATAAATCATCAAAATAACAAAAAATAAAATGGCAACTCACACTCTTCTTTCCAAACGCAGTTCTATTCATTTCGATAAACAATTTATATGGAATGTAAAGCTTAAACAATGAGTTTACTATCAAAAGTCGTTTAAACTTATAATAAATTTAATCTTTAATTATCCTGTAATTAAATTTCTGACACTTGATTTTTTTTTGAACTACCCTACTTTTTGCTTACTTTATAACCTAATTACGCAAACGAATCTGTATCCATAAGTTTTCTGATTTAAATTACATGTGTTCGACGAGAACGGTGACAGGTGCCTGAAATCTTCGAGAGTAGATCGGGAGGATCCGACACGACACTTCATGTCACAACGCTTGCCTACGTTTGCCGCTAGGGGCGCTGTTCCAACTGCATACAAATTTGAGTTAACTTTTACGCTATCGAGAACGTTAAAAAACTCACACTAAGCACACAGTACGGTCCTAAACGAATTCAATTTTTTTTCTACTTATTTTCTGGTAGCCCAAGGGGTTATTCCAGCTTCTCACGTACGGGAACAAATATTTGTACATCTTTATATTAACTACTAGCGGACCGCTCCGGCTCCGCTCGGGTCTTTCACAAAAATTTCAACCACGTTGTTTTATTTTTAAAAATAAAAGAACACTTATTGCGCCATAAATATAATAGTTAAACATATGCTGTCGCGACACTTTTTGTAAATAATAATGTGTTCTACAAAGTTTTCGCAGGGCACGCGATGTATAGAATATTTTAGGTAGTTTTTTTACACCTTAGGTTACATTATTCTAGTTTTAGTAAGGATCCCTAATTTTTTTTAAAAAATATTATAGCTTATGTCACTCGGGAATAGTGTAGCTTTCAAACAGTGAAAGAATTTTTCAAATCGGTTCAGTAGTTTCGGAGCCTATTCAATACAAACAAACAAACAAATCTTTCCTCTTTATAATATTAGTATAGATAAAACATTTCTAGTCATATGTTCTACTATAGTAGTATAATAACAAAGTTATTTAAAAATAAATAAATATTAATCACCGGTTCGGTTCACCAGGATGCGGAAAAAAATAAGACAAACACATACTGACATTCCATTTATCTTTCATTTAATATCTTCTCAAAAATCCTATAAATATATTAATGACATAGGTGGCTTTCACTTATCATGACCTACTGGCGTTAAAATGACTACCAGAGTCTATAGGCATCAACAAAGTAAATATAGCCACATCATGAGACATGAGTTCTAAGATTTCAGTTTTTACACTACAACAGCTGCGCCACCCTTCAAACCGAAACGCATTACTGCTTCACCGCAGAAATAATGGGGGTGGTGGTACCTACCCGTGCGGACTCACAAAATATCTACCACCAGTAATTACGTAATTAATTTTTGCGTGCTTGCTTCACTGGAAGTCATTCGTGAACATTTCTTAAGTATGTATTTCATTAGAAAAATGTTACTTGTCAGCGAGATTCGAACACCGGTACACGTACAGTCGCATCGGTCGATACGAATGTACCGGACGTCTTATCCTTTAGGCCTCGACGACTTCAATACGTTGCCTTCGACCAGTAATTGCTCCAATAACCTTTGCATTAGACGCCTTCAGCTCTAACACTAGGAGCAGGCTTAGGGACCCCGGTGACCGTTCACGGCCCACCTGATATTAAGTGGTTACCGGAGCCCATAGACATCTACAACGTAAATGCCGCATTCCACCTTGAGACATGAGTTCTAAGGTCTCACTTTTAATTACGGCTGCCCCACCCTTCAAACTAAAACACATTACTGCTTCACGGCAGAAATAGGCAGGGGCGGTGGTACCTACCCGTGCGGTCTCGCAAGAGGTCCAGTAAAATTGTTACAATAATTCTTACATTCGTTAATAATCAATAGAAGTTCTCGATCCATCTCGTTCCGTCTGTAGCATCTGTAAAATGGAAGAATATGATCGTGATTTTCATTCTCAATAATTTCAAGGTACTTTGAATTTTAAAGACTAAATGATAACTTAGTTAATGTTTGCTAAGAAATTATTGTGTTATCATATTTGTATAGTTTGGTTTTTTCTAGTCTAAGCCTTGAGAATCGATTTGATTTAATGCCCCAAGGTACGAAAATCAGATGGCTAGTAAAACTGATCTCAACAATAACGGTTAACGTTTTTCATTCCAATAGAATTTATCACACAGCACTAAAAATAAATAAATTTCTATTGTATTCAATATCCAAGCCCGTTATTACTGCGTTATGTATTAAAATGTCTAATTGATATTTATATTTTACTACATATTGAGTATGTAGATCAAAATCGGACATAAATGACCGTGATTTATTAATTTGAAACATAGTTACTTGAATAATTAACATAGTGCTGTCATAATAATACAGGTACCTGACAACAGATGGCAGCACATGTATTGTTTATCTAATGTAATATATTAATTATTGTCGATAAATATAAATGAATTTTATTAAAAGTATAAACTTGCTTCCAATGTTATACAAGATATTAACCCCTAGCTTATTGTATATTCAATGAAAATTGCACTTATAGAGTAAACCAGTTGCGATGCGGAGATGCACACACATTTTTTTATATTACCATTAACGCATTTCTAACGCGTTTAATATCATTATAATAAAATAAAACAATGCGATATTAAATGCATTAAAAGTTTGCGCTAATTACATTAATTAAAACACCTGGAGGTTATAATACTCTAGAAATATTTTATTTAGCTCATACCCACATTGTATACAGATAGGTCTTATAAAATATATGTAATATAAAATACACTGTTAAATACCGAACTAAGAATTATACTTTTTGGCAGAAACGCGAGGAGGGCAGTTATGAGATTTGTTTTATTTTGTCTATTTAGTGTTTCTTCAGGTTTAAAAGTGTAATAACGGTGGTTTATTTACTGTTTAGATGTCGTTGTAGATGTCTATGGGCTCCGGTAACCACTTAACATCAGGTGGGCCGTGAGTTCGTATGAAATAAATAAAAAAAAGTGGAGACAACTTGTGAGAGCCTAGTTTATCAGCGGGGTAGTCTAGAACTACTACCATAGTCGTCGATTTGCAAATTTTCAAGTTAATTTTTTTAGTTTTAATTTTGCTGATAGCCTTTACCTTGAGAGGCTATTTCAGTTTTACCCTAACGGGTAGGTGAGCTCTCGGGGCTCAAATCAGAAGTGTTGCTAACAGTGGCCCTAGCAAGAGCAGTGCTTCGCAGAATCTACCACCGGATCGGAAATGCGACCCACTGAGAAGATCCGGCGAGAAACTCATTGGGCTCAAGTTAATAGGACGACTTCGATTCTATGAAAAAAACGTTGAAAGATTCCGTTACAAGCTAATAAAAGCACCACTTTTACTGGTGGTAGGACCTCTTGTGAGTCCGCGCGGGTAGGTACCACCGCCCTGCCTATTTCTGCCGTAAAGCAGTAATGCGTTTCGGTTTGAAGGGTGGGCAGCCGTTGTAACTATACCTGAGACCTTAGAACTTATATCTCAAGCTGGGTGGCGCATTTACGTTGTAGATGTGTATGGGCTCCAGAAACCACTTAACACCAGGTGGGCTGTGAGCTCGTCAATCCATCTAAGCAATAAAAAAAATTAAAAAAGTTAAAATAGAAAAAATACGTAAATCATTAATCAAAGTTATGCAAACGTGTAATTTAAACAATAATTATAATTATAATCGAATTAAATAGTCGAAAAGAGTTAGTTGATTGAATAATTATTTTGTTCTGTTACAACATACAGATATTAATTGAAGCATTGTTACAGGAATTAAACACGCGATTCGTGTGCCGGTTTTGAAATGATCGACCGGATTTTGTCGAATAATTATAATATTTAATGTATGGAATACGTATACTTTTGATTTGCATGTTTCGCTAACAAGAAGAAAAAAGTGTATACTTCTCTCCTCCTCGCGTCGTTTCCTCACTGCTGAGGGTCGTGACCATTATATGTCGACAGGATTTTGCTCCTTGTAATGTCCCGCCAGCGCCTCCGATCATTGGCCGCATGAAGGGCGTTGTGGGATCTCTAGTGTGGTGCGGATTTGGTCGAACCACCTTGTCGGACTGCGCCCGCGCGGTCTCTTTCCCTCGATCTTCCCTGTCACGAATAGTCTCTCTAAGCTATTTTATCTTTTAAGCAGTTTTATCTTTGTTTTCTGGGTAATGTTACGGTCCTTCCAGATTTTACGGAACTGGGTCATGGCTCCCTTTGCCATTCCAATACGCCGTCGTATTTCAGGTTCGCTGGATCCAGTATTGTTAATGTTGGAGCCTAGGTAAATAAAGTTATCAACAAGCTCAAGGTTTAGTGTTCCACTAAGCTCCAACTTTTTTGTGCGATCAACGACCATGATTTTAGTTTTGGATCTGTTGATGGCGAGTCCCATCTCCAACCCTATGTGCTCCATCCTGTTCAGAAGCTCTGTCATCTCTGCTTCTGTTGTGGCAAGCAGAGTGGTGTCATCTGCGTAGCGCAGGTTCGTCACTCTGATACCACCTATGGTTATGCCTCCATCCCAGTCTTCTAGGGTCTTACGCATGATGTATTCGCCGTATATATTAAATAGAATGAGTGACATAATACACCCCTGGCGAACTCCTCTTCTGAAATGGAATGTATGAACTCCTCTTCTGAAAAATGTATACTTCTAAACAACGTATTTTACTGTCATAAAGGCCATTTTACGGTAACGATTTCATGAATTTAAACTTTCTCTAATTTTCCATTTTGTTTTTGGTATTTTGGCATGTTCATAATAAAAAATGTTTCATCACAATCAAGTCAATCCCTCATTTATTGATATTATTATATATTATAATATTCGTTTATATTTTTCATTTTACGCATTTGATAACGCCAATTTAAATAGGAACTTTTTTGAAAAGCTTAGAAATCGTACTTCTTTTGTTTTTAATCATGTTCTAATATGCAGTTAGTTTTCCTGTACTATTGTATTATAGATATAATGATTAAATAAAATTGCCGATTTTTTTTTTTATTTTTTTTTATTTTTTTTAT